GACAGGACGGGGCAGACTGTCCGGCTTAAAGATGGTGTTGTGCCAACAATATTCAACTTCCCAGCTCATCTTCAAAGGGTATGTGTATCATTGGCCAACAAGAATTCAAGGTGTATAAGATTGATATATAAATATGTGATTAAATGTCACACTTTAGTTTTTCTTTCTGCAAGTTTAGGAATAAATAATGTGATGTGTATTACAGCACATTTTAAACACTCAACATGTCTTTAATGTTTATTGTCAGGGCAGCAGAGTGGGTAATTCGCCAGGCATCAGCAGATTCTAGACGATCACAGCCCATCAAACTGCTAGAGGTCCTCTACATTGTGCGGAAGAGGATAGGTCCAGAGGATGTGTTTTTGCTCGGGGAGCACATTGTCGACACACAGTATGGCATTGACAGTCACCACCATACGCTGTTGACATTAGTTGTGTCCCTGTTTTTAAGCTAAGGCTGCATCACATTGCAAAAACAACTACTCTGAGCTTACAGAGTGGCAGCATGAGACAGAAGCTCACAAAAACAGTCCTTTTCAAAGGGCATTAGCTCCAACTGTGTGTGCACATGTGTTACGTGTCGTAGTGGGTGCTTGTGTGTCTCCCTCTCTTTCCCCCTGATGTTTCTTCTTCTTCTTTGTTTAATGGCGAATCGCTACCACTAGGAGCATATATACCTACTATGTATTTATTAAATCTTCATGTTCCATGAGACGCAGCACTATGTTCCCCACATATGTTTATGTTTGCTCAGTCTAATAAACCCATAACATGGTTGTGAAAGAATACCAAAGCTGAGGCTGGACGATGATTGATTGTTGGTGTGCCATGTGTCACTGTGTGTCTTATTGGTTTTGTGTTATACTGTATTTTATTGTGTGCAGCTGGTCCTTATCTCCAAGACACATTTAAAACAAATAACCTTGAAGCCCCATCTCTACCCACCTGCTCCTGCTTCCTATATCCCCTCCACACCACACCAAGTTGTTCTTCTTAATAATAATAATACATTTATTTTGGGAGGCCGCCTTTCATAACACCCAAGGACACCTTACAGGGGCATAGGGGCAATATAGGGAACAATTTAAACAGTGGATTTTGTGATATATCAGCCGGGGTGAGACAAGACAAACCACAAATGGACTACAGAAGGACACAAAAGGACACATGGTACAGTTTATATTATTCTTGGTCTTTTTTCAATAACATATTTCAAAGGTTCTGGATTTGTTTACAAATCTAGAAACTAAATACAAAACTAGGATGATATGAAGATCTCATGTCAAAAATAATTGTGATAAATGAGACAGAACTGGCCTGTCTGTGAGCACATTTTATGTTGGTTTGGTTCTTCTGATAAAGGTGTAAATATCTAAATAATATACCACCATATGCTATTGTCATTAGTTGTGTCCCTGTTCTTCAAGGCATTGCTAAATGAACAACTCTTGGCTTACAGAGTGGTAACATGAGACCGATTTTTATATATAAAATATAAATGTATTTTAATTTTATAATTTATTTATAATTTATTTTAAATATTAACAATATAATAAAATAAATGGAAATATATACACCGGCAAATATTTAATATAAATAGCCTACCGTGTGTGTGTGTGTGTGTGTATAGCTATTGCTTTATCTGATTAATGTTATTGTCATACGAAAGTCCATGATTATAAGTATGCAGTATCATAACTACATCTTTGATGTTTATAAAAAAACAAACCGTTTGAAAATTGGTTGAAAATTGAGCAAGCTATGGTTATTTAAATAGTAAACCATAATGTTATGAATGAGAGAACTGCCTGTGGCAAGATGGCAGCCATGTGGCAACGTCGGTCTCCATTGGCCAGCAGCGCGGGTGAGTCATCTAGTGTTTATATATATATGTTTATATATATATCTATGCCTACACCGGCCCTGGCTGCAGCGCTGGGCCCTTTCTCATTTCATCAAATCCCCCTCCTCGACTCCTCGGTCCTCCGGTAGTGACCCGGAAATACATTTTAGCGCGCCATGTTGAAGGACATCTCATTTCTCTAAATGCACTTCGAGGACTGAGCATCGAGGAGGCTCTCTGGAGGAGCTATAACCGAGGATACACTGATGGGTCCTCCACGGTCCTCCACGGCTCCTTTGTGGATGCATTTCCGGCAACAGAGATGTTTCAAAGAGTCGTGACGCACGGCCGGACTTATCTCAGCCAATGACAGCTCTGCATGCATCCCCTGGATATTATTTTACTAACTGCTCTCATTGCGACGTGATGTTTCCAGAGAGAACAGCTGTGAGGTCCGTTCAGAAAGCAGAGAAGTGTGTATAATATATATCACTCAGTATAACAGGCCTACTCTCTTTATTTGCTGTAGTTTAGTAGATAACTACAAACAAAGAGTCCATATTTTTCTAAAACCATTCAGTGCTTCACATAATAAAATACACAACGGCTGTAGCCTGATTATGTGTAGGTGTGTGTGGTATAGTCAGTACTCAAGTTGTAAAAATAAATCAGGGGGGATGGTGGATTGTATCATATGGGGATATAATTTATTCTGATAACCCGCCGAGGGTGGGAGACCAACCAGCATAAAGATAATTATTATACTGCTAAAACAACATGCATGTTATGGATGTTCAGATACTCCTGTCATTGCTCTTGACCAAGGCACCTCAGAATTAGAGTCGGTCCCCGGGCCGCCATAGGGTCAAATGCAGAGGACAATTAGTGCAAAATCTTTTTTTCACTTTAATTTAAAGGGGAGGGGATACAAAAATGTGGTTATAATGGAAGTATATGGTACAAATCTTGTAGGTTAACAGTCCCTCATTTATTATTCAGATGGACCAACTGATTATACTAATAATAAAGTCAAAATAGCTTTTAGAATATTGAATTATAGTGTATTTTTTCAAAAAAGCAGTTACTGGTATACGATCAAAACTGGTATCTAAAGGGTTTCATTTGTATCGTAATCAATTAAATCATTATGTAAATTAAACACTTCATGAAAAATTTGAGGGAAAAAAATTGATCCGTCATCATTTTATTGCAGTTCAAATAAAAATATGTTATGTTAACATTCCCAATGTTACTTTTTTTAACAGGGCATTAAGTGCAAATTGAAATTGTTTACAAAATATGAAAATATATTAAAAGATTATACAGATAATACAAAATAGGAACAATGTTGTCAATGGCTGCCTACTCCACTCTCCCCATCTCATAGAAGTTTCCAAAGATGTTCATAATCATGCTTTTTGGTCTCAATTTTTCTGGCTCTTGCTTTCGGATTGTTAGCTAAGCAATGGCTTTGAAGCCAAGTCTTGACATATACCTCTGGTCTGAACTTGTTCAGTGGAGGGCCAACACACTTGATGAAAAGCAAGGCTGACATGCTTTTTACCTCTAGGGAGCTTCTAGTTGTGGTTAAAATGTTCATCTGACTAAACCCACGTTCACACTCAGCTGTGGAGATGACCAGAGTGTTCACTGCTTGAAGGAGGGGTTTCAGCTCTTCTGGTGCTGGTGGTATCATTTCATCAACAGTTTTGAGTCTTACCAGCGAGCTAACACGAGAGAAAAACGTAGCTAAACTCCAAACTAAGTTGTTATTGCTGCTTATGTCCATAGATTCCACCTTTGGTGAGTAAAGTAATGAGTAAAGATTACTGACTCTTGACTTACCTGAAATGTTATTTTTAGTACTTTTAAATATGAAGTCCCTCAGATCGCGTTGTCCTCCATGGTCGCTTGGCCATTGTGATGACCGTTACCTGCGCTTCTGGCATCGATCAAACAGGCGCATCACGGCGCTCTGGCGCCCTCTAGGGCACTCGCATAGTATAGCGTCAGTGACTTGGTAAAAATGTCATTGCGTGTGTGCGTGCTCCCTCGCCCACAGTATTTTACTCAAAATGCGCAAAATTAATGTTGAAATAGCAGTAATACCAGTGCCACGTTCATTGATAAAATGACATAAGGGATGGAAAGGGGGAATGGCAGTTTTAGAAGGGGGATGATTTTGACCGTTTTTATTTCAGGGGGGATGCCATCCCCCCTCATCCCCCCTCAACTCGAGTACTATGTGTGTGCGTAGATGCAGCGGACAGACAGGTCTCAGTTGGTTTGGTGTCCTCTGCTTACTTTAAATACTTGTAAATAAAACTTTTGGCCCCTAATTTATTTTCCTCATTGTAGCGACCAGAGAGGGGAGAGGTGGGGGGGGGGATATATATCCAGTCTCTGATAGTGTTACGTTATTATGAGAGTGCTCTGTTTGATTCTGAAATTGTATATATTTATATATATGTGTGTGTGTGTGTGTGTGTGTGTGTGTGTGTGTGTGTGTGTGTGTGTGTGTGTGTGTGTGTGTGTGTGTGTCCGCATCTGTAGCCTGTTATTGTCTCATTATACCGCACTGTGAATGAATCAAAGTAAATATATAAGTGGTCATGAACACATCTGTCCATCAGACAGAGGGCTGCTGTGCCTCCTGTCATCATTAATGGACGTCTCTTTAAAATGACCGCTCAGAGGAGAGGAGTTCTCATTTCTCTAACCGCCTGCTGCTTCCCCTCCTCTCTCCTCGGCTCCCCTCCTCGGCTCCTCTGCTCGCATCTCCTGTGGGCGGGACTAAGTCTCGAGGATAGGAGTCGAGGAGGGGAGTTAGAGAAATGAGAAAGGGCCCTGCTGTCTAAAGAACAGGTACAGGAAGTGATCCAACAGCCATCTCCCTGTACAGCACCCCCCCCCCCCCCCTCTCTGGCTGTTAGCGTGTTCAGGTTCTCCCTCTCATGAACACTTTGCACATACTGAACATCCATATCCATATCCATATCTCTCTCTCTCTCTCTCTCTCTCTCTCTCTCTCTCTCTCTCTCTCTCTCTCTCTCTCTCTCTCTCTCTCTCTCTCTCTCTCTCTCTCTCTCTCTCTCTCTCTCTCTCTCTCTCTCTCTCTCTCTCTCTCTCTCTCTCTCTCTCTCTCTCTCTCTCTCAGAGCGCACATCTGGCGCCCTCGCGCGGCGCTCACCCTCCTCCGTAGTAGCAATATCACGCGGGGTGAAACGTCATCAACACCAGACGCACATCCAGAACACACCAATAGCAATAATGGCAAGTATACCAATGTAAACGTATGAATGTGTTTCCAGTTTTTCAAAATGTTTTGTGTAAATGCTCAGTGCAGTACTCACGACTCTATTCTCGCTTATTTAGTGTTTTTCGCTAAATATGGGCAGCCTTCGTCGTGCTCGACAGTTAGCTCGATGCTAACATTAGCTGCATGTCTTTGTGTTTGCAGCTCTTCTACTCGTTCTTCAAGTCGCTGGTGGGGAAGGATGTGGTTGTGGAGCTAAAAAACGACCTGAGGTTAGTTCTGTTCGGTTAGGCCGAAAAACGGAGTAACACTGTTTGAATTTGCCTCCACTGTATGAAGCTGACTGCTGTACAATGTGGAAACTAATTCAGTTCTAGATTGACCTAATATCAGGGGACCGAGTGTGACCATTATTCTTACTTGTCATTTAAGTGAGGTTATTGTAAACATCAGTAGAAACAGCTAACACTCAAATGCAGTGGGGTTATGGATGTAAGCAGAATTGCACGAGTATTGTACTTGAGTAAAAGTAGAAGTACTCAGATCTTGTACTTGAGTAACCAGAGTGTAGGAATACTCTTTTACGAGTAAAAGTACTGCATTCAAAATGTCACTCAAGTAAAAGTAGAAAATTATTAGCATAAAAATATGTAAGTACCAAAAGTAGTCGTTGTGCAGATTGGTCCATTTCAGAATAATATATATGATATGTTTTATAATGATTGATCATTAAAGTGTTCTCAAAGCTGGTGAAGGTGCAGCTAGTTTGAATGGCTTTGTATTAGGCAGGGTAGCTGGTGGATTTACTCCAGGTGGAACTAAAGTCTGATTTAACACTTGGTTATATTTCACATCATATCGTAACAATTACTTTTCTAACATCTCTCTTTGCAGTATCTGCGGAACACTTCATTCCGTTGACCAGGTTTGGAAATGATCAATTATTTTCTAATATGAAAACAAAGCCATTCCAGCTGCTCCAATGTTTATCTGACTGCATAGACTTGTAATCTTCTGATGTCACATTTCTCTGTTTGTGTGTTTTAGTACTTGAACATTAAGCTCACAGACATCAGCGTCACTGATCCAGAGAAATATCCACACATGGTGAGTGTATCCGATCATTCAGTGTCATTTCAGCTTTGAAGACACGTCAGTCCTAAAACTCTACTGTTTACTTTGAGACCCTGGATGTTCGTGCCCTATTTACCAGCTCGAAAAAATGTAAATTATATATATTTAAGGTGGGGTATGTAATTTATTTCAGAAACACTTTTTGTTATATTCCATGGAATGCTCTTAACATCCCGATGGCAATGAATATATTAAATGCTTTGACGATAAATACATTAAAAAAATTCATCTCCGGAAGCCGTAGCGCTTTAAAAAGCACGACCAATCATCTGAGCCGGCCCGGCTAAAGTAACTGGATGGCCTACCTGCCTGTCAGCCCTCCATCTGTGCACAAACTTATCTCGTGCCCTCATTGGTCATGTGCGCGTTCGTGTGTGTTGGAGGAGGGGCTCTGTAAGGAAGAGGCAGATTTCTTCCGGCTGTGTATTTTCAAATTCACTCGAGCTGGTTTCTCCAAAATTACCGTCCCCTCCTTTAATACATTCATAATAAACGTAAAATTGTTTTGTCGCCTCGGTAATTCATAACTTACCCAACCTCTATAAGAATTTCTTATTAACATCCTCAAGTCAGAATAAAAGGATGATTTTTGTTACTATAATTAATATTGTTGTTTTTTATTATACCTCAATAAATGTGAATGTAAAGCCAATTTTAACAAAACACCAATACAACTTGTGTTTTATTAATAAAATGAGTGATGGAAAAATAATAACAAATACAATCTGATCAGTCAGCGTCTGTGTCTCTTTGAAAGACAACCATGTTCAAACTGCTGTGTTCGGTTTGTGCTCTTCTCAGCTGTCAGTGAAAAACTGTTTCATCCGTGGGTCTGTGGTCCGGTACGTGCAGCTGCCCGCTGATGAGGTGGACACGCAGCTCCTGCAGGACGCGGCGCGGAAAGAAGCCATGCAGCAGAAGCAATGAGTGACCTAAGGGGGGGGGGGAGGGGGCGGGGCTGAATAATGAGTAGTTTTGAGTTCAGGTCATTTTAAAGATGATCCCGTTTGTGCAGCTCTTGTAAACGGAGCATTATTGGTAATTTTCCTGTATTTTCAAATGGAACTTAATAGTGTTTGACACGGATAATTCATCATTTGTAAACAGTCATTTTTGGATTGGTCTTTGTTTTGTTTAAAAGAAAGATAATTAAATAATGTTGAGTCCAGTAGAGGTAAAGATCTGAAGTCTTTCTGTTGCATACAAGCTCTGTTTATCTTACCTTAAATGATGACTTTGTTTTTTTATGCCACTTCGAAATAAAAAAGCTATTTTATTTACATATTGAAATTATTGTCGTTAATTCTACATGTAACAAGTGATACACATGTTGGTTATGGGCTCTTAAGGATTACAGCCAGAATGTTCCTTGAGCTGCGATCATGCGAGAAAGTTACTTAGTAAATGACTGCATTTATGGGAAATAAATATGAAAATCCCATGACCTCATTGCTAGTTATCCAAATCAGTGTATATACATGTTTAATATTTGTCCTGAAGTTATGTCTCAGTTATTGTAGCTACCTAACCATGTCCCTGAACAGATAGTCCCTGTATACCCAGTCCTTTCTCCTTGTAATATGACTAAATCAGTCTGTGGTGAGTACATAGAAATCCAATACCTTTATTTTACATTCATACATCTATAACATTGTACAATAAGTTTAATGCAGTTAAAAAAGCCCAATCCAAAAACAAATCCTGAAGATTAACAATGATGCATTTATGTTTTACGATTGGTGACAAGCATTTAAAAATATACACAAACACACACACGGGGTATGAGGACGAGTGGCGTCCTTGAGTTGTACCTTTATAGAGCTGTGCTGAACAGAGAGGGATTCAGACAGAGAGAAAGGCACATTGAATACACAGTGTACAAAACAGAAATGTTGACACGTAACAGCCTACTCTAGGATCTAGAACAATGACCAAAAACTGTAAACCTTCACTTATGGAAAACTAATGAACAAAAACTAAAGTCACATCTATACAAATACATTTAAAGCAAAATATTTTCTTGGTCATAACAAAGCAGAACCTTGAAATGCATTTCAACACCTAGATTGGCTCTGCCAGCAGAGAGCAATCCCACAGATATAATTACACAATATGTCACAATATTTATGCAGTTGCCCACTTCATGTGCTCCGACAACTGGTAGGAGAACCTCATGCAGAACCTCATCAGACGGCAGCTTCAGCTGATATGTTTTAGATTCAATCTAATTACAATATCTCCCCCCTCTTTACATGAAAATGGCAACTTGAAATGGTGCAACATGTACGTACATCTACATACAAATGTATAGACAACCCTATACAGCCGCAAATCTCGTATGTACCGTCAATCAAAAATGTTCAATACTTTCAGAAAAGTAAGTTCTCTGATATAAAATACTGTATTTTAAAAAGCAAATTGTTTACATTCCATCCAACAAAATAAAGCTTTATATACGTACCTTCAAAGCTTAGAAACACTCCCAACATACATATATGTATTTATATATATATATTCTATATAGAAACAATAAAGTGACTAAGATGCCATAAGTGGCTCTACGTTCACATGTAGTGGAAACCCGTTTAGAATGGCGTACAAAGCCAATGTATTTGTCTAATGAACACAGTGTGGCACTACAATTGTGGATGATTGTACGAGTTGGGGTCTCAATGCCAAGGTCAAGATTGCCTCCTCTGAAAGGGGCCTCTTCTTCCCGCTCAGCACGCCTTGGTCAGGTCAGTGGGCATGTTGGGCGTGGTCATGCGGTACTGGATCTTCGTGTTAGTGATGGCGCCGTGCTTCTGTCTGAGATGCAACCGTAGCTGACTCTTGTGGCGGAAGTGCAAGTTGCATTTCTCACACTGAAAAGGGAAGCGGCGTAACGTTATTTAGGATGTTTTTACGGAGGCAATATTACTGTTTGATTTAGTCACTTTAAAGTAGTGAAAAGAGTGCGTGGACCTACATGATAGGGCTTTTCTCCTGTGTGAATGCGCAGGTGGCTCTTCAGCGTCTGCAGGTGACGGAAGCGTGTTCCACAGATCTCACAGGGATATGGCTTCTCCCCCGTGTGGATCAACACATGGGCACGGAGATGAGCAACCTGAAACACAAACAAAACACATGAGGATTGCAACGAACAAGTCATTTGCTAGATTATTTGTATGGTTCATAAAAAGTCAGAACATGGACAATAAAATTGTCCATCCCAGTTCCTCAAAGTTCAGAGCAAATAATGTCCACATTTGAAAGGCTAAAACAGCGTTAAGCACAATAAATGTATTATCAAAATACTTGACCATTATTTTGTTGGCGATCGACTACTTGTTACAGGTCTAACGTCAAAGCAAGTTTCATTTATATAGCCCCTTCCAGCTGGAACACAAAGTGCTTCAAAACACATCCATTCACAAATAGAAACAAGATTACCTCCCCAGTCAGTGTAACACATAGCTTTGCAATTAAAACATTAATCTATCTATATATATATATATATATATATATATATATATGCATGCATATACACTTCATATACATACATACAAATAAAAATACAACTCAGTAAAAAGCTCAATTAAAAAAGGTGGGTCTTTAGTTTGCTCTTATACGTACGAACACTGCTGAAGCTCATCAATCAAACTGACTGATCACAACAATGCAAACTATTATCGGGGAATGAGTCAGACTTTGATGAAACTTTTCAGACAGTCAACGTATTTGAATCAATTGTAAAAAATAAAAAAACCACACTTAAGGTAATTATGGGTATTTTTGTAAAGCTGAAAATGACTAAACCCTCCCTGCTATTAGACAAACACAAGAGAGAGAACATGTTTTATATAGAGTCGTTTTTACCTGTACGAAACGAGCTCCACACGTCTCACATTTGTATGGCTTCTCTCCTGAGTGGATGCGAGTGTGAGTCTTGAGGTTTGCTGGTCTGTTAAACTGAGCACCGCAGATATTACAGCGATACGGCTTCTCTCCTGAGGACAAGAAATCAGAGGGTGGAGATGCTCAGCATTCAGCAGCAGGGGAGCGTGGACTTTGCCAGACAATAGAAGATCTGTGACGTACCGGTGTGGACGGTCTTGTGGCTGGCGAGGTTGCCCTTGTAGCGGAAGGCGGCCTGGCAGCGGTCACACTTGTAGGGCTTGTCGCTGTGCACCTGGAGCATGTGTTGCTTCAGCGCCCCGTCTTCAGCGAACTTGGAGTCGCACTCGTTACAGAAGAATGTGCCGTTTTCTGTCCGGGGGAAACCGTAGCAAAGGTTACCTCTAGTCAGGTTTGGGGAGTAACGGACTACATGTAACAGCATTACGTAATCAGGATACAAAAAAAGTAACCGATGCCCTTACGGTTACATTAAGAAAAGACATGATCACATTACTGTTAACATCTTTTTTGAATGGGGATTAGAATGCATCAATGAATTATAGGTAGACATCCTGCCGGAATGTTCTTTTTGGTTTTCATTTCGGCTACTTTCATTCCTTTTTTAAAGCACCTGATTTATTCAAAACAAAAATGCTGCTTGCTTTTCATTCATAAATTAAACTAAAACACTTTTTGAAAGCTCTACCATTCTGTAGGTCTAGCCTCAGTTTAAGAGGACACATCTGTACTAAATATCTTGGTTAGGTTGTAGCCTATTGTTCTGTTGTCTCGAATACACTGAAGTCAAAACATATTATTCATATTTCCTCTTTTTATTTATTTGCATTGCATTTGATGTTGAGGTAATCCAACAGTAATGGAAAGTAATTAGGTTACATTGCTTTTATATTCTGATACTAAGAACATGTTTAAAATGTTTTACAGGTAACTATTCATTGTAAACATTTGTCAAGTAACCTTCCCAACCCGGCCTCTAGTCCTTCAAAAGTGATTGGTTTACAACGCTTGTCACTGTATTAAATTGGATGTGTGTATCTCACCACAGCTGGAGTCGGAGTACTCTGAGTGCAGCTCTGCCATGTCCTCAGCTAGCCGGGACCTGGGGGTGTTGGGACAGACCTTCGAGTGCTGCGGGGAGGGGGTGCCGCAGGTCGAGCAGTTCAGGCGGCTCAAGTAGTGCGGAGCGTGGCTGTCCCCGTTCCTCAGCGACCCCTCCAGTGCACTAACACACAAAACAAGTACTTCATGTCAGGCATAACAAAAAAAGACCGTAAAAATCATATATTACAATATATTCAAATCAAATGTACTTGCAAAATAAAGTTTCTAAAAGATCTTAGTGAATGCTCAAACACAGCAAATAACAATTAATGGATCATAAAACTCGTATCAAATATATACACAAACTTGACCTATAAATCCTCCCAGCATGCCATAGAACTTGATTAACATGTTCTTGTTGTACTGCAGCACACATGCAGCTGTGTGTCTGAGCGCTCACCTGCTGATGATGTTGTTGAGGCGGCTGGCCTGCGGCACAGGAAGCTCCTCGCTGTGGTCGCTGCTCCTGCTCGTGGCTTGAGGGTCCAGGTTCTCTGAGTCGCTGGGGTGGAGGTAGGGTAGCAGACCAGGACGCTGAGGGGACCGGAGCCCCACCTCGTCTTCCTTGGCGCTCTGATTCTGCACGATGAACTTGTACTTCTTCCAGTTGCGGGATTTGGTCTCCTGCGCGCCTTGCGGAGCCTGCACTGCGGCAGCCTGGGAGAGCGTGGCGTTCTTGCTGCTGCTGGACTCTGTTGGGGAGTTGGGCTGGCAGTCTGATTTGAGGGGGCTCTGCGGGCTGCTCATGAGGCTCTTGCGCCCAGTGGAGGAGATTCCAAGCGGGTAGTGCTGATGGATCAGGTCTTCCTCTGCCTGAGGAGCGTGATCTTTCCCTGACTCTCTGTGGTGCTCGAGGGTCAACACAGGAAACGCGCGCTTCCTTGCACCGTGGGTGATAGACTGGCTGACCCCCTCGTGGCTCTCCTTCCGCATCTCGTCGTCTCTGCCTACCTCCCTGGAAGCGTAGGTGGTGGAGTGAATAATGCTGGAGGAGCTGGTGCCAAGTGCTCGACTGTATTCTGCCCTGATGATGTTGGCGCTGTCATGCGGAGAACAATGCTTATGGTGGATACCACTCTTAGAGAGGTCAGCAAAAGCGTTTTTGGCATCAGTCAGCTTGCAGAGAGGGAAAGGGAATCCTGGCATGGGAAACTGCCCGTAGAGATGGTAGTTGCTGGGGGTGCTGACCCCGCTGAACATGTTTGAACCGTAGGGCCTCCCATCCCTGAACGGATTTACCCGGCTGTGCAAACTGTCAACAACATCATGGGGCCGGTAAGCAT